ATAGGCGTAGTACGTAAGCTTTAGAATGACAATACGAGAAGAATGCAAGTCTCCGAAGAGTGTGTAGAATAGCTGGTGGAGGCTCTGCAGTGATGACGACAAAAATTCAAGGAACTTATCACGGGAAACTTGTCAAGAATGCTTTATGAACATTCTAAAAGTCACATTTTACATACGGATAAAAATAATTGGACTATTGCTAAAGAATTTAGCACCCTTGGAGTTTATTCTGAGTTTTAGCATGGAACCGATATGTCCCGCCCTGAAACTTTCCGTTTTCCGCACAAAAATATTTGATTTTCGGCGATAGAGGTTAGCTAATTTATCCGTTTTTGTGTGCTCGATGTTTTTGGTCTCGGCTTGTTGTTGTTGGCAGTCCTCCTAATTTTCACATTTACGTTGTTCATTTCTAGACCAGTGGGCAGCAAAATTATTCACGCTCATCTTATCTGAAGAAGCTATCCTGGAAAAACGGGCAAATTTACTTTTTTTTGCGAAAAAAGTAGTACTTAAATGTCATGGCGACGCCAGTTGTATGAGTGTTGCTCGGTGCAGAGTGATTTCCTCTTATTTTGTCAGCAGAACCAGAACTAATTAGGTAAACAATACATTGAATAAAAAGTTACATCGATTTTCATGAAAGGGAACACCTGAAGCACCGATCAAATACATTTTCTGTTGCGGTAGTCTCCACCTAAATTCAGTCAGACTTATCCTCCATGAAGGCATTGGGAGCACCGATTTGAATCGAATCGCCTCACGTGTGTTGACTCAGTGTGATGGTACTTTATTCACTTTCATACAGGTACGGTGTCGTGATGGATCCAACGGCCTGGTTACGATTTATTCTTCAAACACCAGATAAGTACTATGCCTTGGGCCTGTTGTTATGTAAGTTAAATTGATCGAGTTTGTTGTTTTTCTGTACACCAGTCTGTAGGACACCATTGCCTCTTATGTGCGTTCGGGTGGTTGTGCTCTCTGTCGAAACCTTGGTCGTGTCTCACATGCAATTTGGTGGGTTGCCACCATATTTGCCATGCACTTTGGACACCGTAGACTACCTGACTGTGTTTGCTGGGAACCTGATTTTGTCTGATATTTATCGGAGAGTGCGTGTGTTAGTGTGACGCTTTCTGCCGTTGGCAAAGTGCCGTTGGTGGAACCACTAGTGAACAGGCGCACGGAAATGTTGATAGAGTCTGCCGAGTGGATGAATCATCCCGTACAAACATAAGTTAAAGAAAACTTACAACGAGTGAATAATACCAAGTCCCAAATGGCACCCACTTGTCTTCTGCTGGTATGATTTTCAAGACGGAATTCACTGAAGCTATCACAGCGGTTGAACAAAATAAGTTTACATAAGCAGAACTTGAGAAAAATGACTAGAGCTTATCGCTCATTGCTTGCCGTGTTGGTCTCAATTACTCAACTTTTTCTATTTTCACACCATTACATTGGGAGTTAGAGATTTACGTACAGTCTAGACTAACCGGACATAACCGCTTTGACGCTGTTCCATATCTAACAACTATGTAGGACCTCATCTATCAAGATTTTCAAGGCAAGGTTGCACGGGCCGGAACATTTCCAGCCACGTATGCATTGTGTTCAAAAAGATCTACTGGAACATTTTGGAACCAAGAAAGAGGTCGACTTGACGCTTATGTCACTTAGTGTCCATTGGCTGGATAATTCAACCTGCATCAACCGAAAACCCGTCTCTTGAATCCCCTAACCTGATTAAACTGGATTGCCCTACCAGACATCACATATATAGTCGGACCTGTTAAGATAACCGGTCTTTCGGTTATCTCTATATCGTCGATCGATTGGTAGGCTCTGTGGGGTTGCAGCTGAATTAAAACTATACGTCAACCCCCTGGAAAGCCTCTGACTGAGTGTTCGGTAGCCTCATTGGATTTGCTAATGAAGTGAAATGAACTGGCTTACGAAAGTATTTTGTCCCTTCAGATTAGAACGGTTCAATTCACGTTGAGTATAGGGTAAAGAATCTTCCCTGAATGTTAAAAATACCCCTTATAACCGACTGAAGTACGTAGTCACTAGTTCTTTTCAGGTTACCTTGCGTAGATGAACGGCTGCGCAGTTTCTTTTAACCGTATGGTTAACCGAGCACCAAGTTCCTCTTCCTGATTTCAGTCTGATTACTGTAAATTATTTCACAGGTTGCAATCTGTTCATCATTGCTGCCTGGTTTCTGGAATACGCCGTCGTTCAAGGAAGGCTCCATCACAATATGGCCCTCGGATTAGGTTGCATCAACCTTTTCTGTGTGCTGACCTTCCCAACTGTGATCATTTTGATGCACGATTTCAATCCGCGTACGTTTATAAATCTTTGTGTCGTGCACACACCGAAAAAAACTTTACTAGTATGAGTCCCTACATTCCGGGATGATCTAGCTTGCAGATTGTAGAACAAATAATTTACTCATTCTGTACACAACCTTAATTCACGCACTATTACCATTTTGTTCAAAATGCGAAACGGCCAGTCAATATTAGAAGAAAAATAGTAGCATCCTCCGCCCACCCAATCATCTGTTCCGTTTATCACAATACACCAAACTGTTTCTGTTATGATCACCTACGGGACGTAAGAGGAAGGATCATATTAGAGGGACGGCTCCCCCAGAGAGTGTGAAAAATCGAATTTGGTTTCTCAATACAAGTCCAAATAGTGGGTGGGTAATGTTACTGATAATTTTGAAGGTGACTTGGAGAGATCTTGTACCTAACTACTGTTGTGGTGGAAAGATAATAAATCATTTCACAAGGGCCATAACAGAGACGTGATGAGACTACCCAAAAGGGATCATTGTAGTGATCAGATCCAGTTAGGGGTTTTTATTGCATACCACTTAACTTAGATACGATGTAGGCCATCTTCTGGTTATGATAAGCTTAAGAGGTTTGTTAAACAACCATCTAGCCATGTGCATTCGCTTGCCGTTCTCAATCTGCAAAACCCATATAATCTCACTATCAGAATCCGTCACGGTATCCACGGTTTGCAGGTGTTGTTGCTTCGAGAATTAACTGTTGATCTTAACGTAGTTCCTTTTCTAACTTATTACCTGTATGCTACGATTACTGAATAATATCGGATTGTAGTACCCTAGCGACTGTTCGGTTCGAAGCAGCTTTGGAGCTTTGGGCAAAATCAGGGAGTAGTCAGTTCTTATTGGAATTGCCTGCGAACCGACGTAAGGTTTTTCGAGTCCAGATGAAGAGCTAAGTTTTTCGCGTTTCTCTCTTTTACGCTAAAGTTTCATGGGCTGCACCCGCTCTGAAAAGAACCATAAAGTTCTTACCTCTCCGCTCTTCCGATNGATGCGTGCGTAGAACCATCTCTGTAGAAAAGCTCTTCTATGGATAGTTAACGTGATTTCCTGTCGTGTCCAGGTTCATTTTATCAACACGCAATTTCCGGTCGTTCAGAACAGAGGTTGGCTTTGTTTTTATCTTATTCGCACTTACCTGGGTGTTTCCGGAGCCAGATTGGATAAAGTGATGGGATGAAGTTACACGAAAAAAATAGAATTCCTATTGTCTATAAGGCTTAGGATTTCCAGGCGAAACTCGGCTTAGAGGTTGCTGAAAACGTTGAGCGCCTTCCGGTGTATAACATGGAAACCTTTAATGTCAAAACACAGCGTAATGGAATGAGATGCCATTCTTCGACGTTTCAATTGTCACGGGCAACAATCCATCGATTGTAGAAATCCTTGAAAAACGTTACCCACAGTAACCGAAACGTCAGATTATAGCATCTTATTCCACTACACTGCGTTTTGACTTTAAAAGCTCATATAACACAATTCTCAGTTTGTCAAATGAAGCTGATCATTTCGCAGATTGAGTAATTCTCCAAAAATTGGTCTTTAACCATCTTGTCAAGAATAAAGCACTTAGCTTTTTCCGCCCATTCTACAAATCATATAAGTGATCTTTTACTAGCAGAAATAATAGATTCAATTTCACTTCTCTATTTGCATTTCAAGAATGACTGATTGATGTACAAGGGTCGGGTTTACAATGCTGCGGTGCGCTCCATATTACTATATGGATCAGAAACCTGACCGCTGCGCGCCGAGGACGTCAAAAGACTTTCAGTGTTTGACCATCGATGTCCTCGGAGCATTGCCCGAATCTGGTGGGAACACCGGATCAGCAATTCTGAAGTACGTCGAATGGTATTCGGGAGAAATAACTCACCCTCGATAGATGAGCTGATCACACTGCATAGGTTGCGCTGGCTTGGCGACGTGTTGCGTATGCCAGTCGACCGACTTCCTCGAAGGGCTCTTTTCGCACAACCACGTGAAGGGTGGAAGAGATCTAGAGGCGGTCAAACAATGACTTGGCAGGGAAGTATGAAAGCCATTACCAGCAAACTCAGCTGCGCTGGTAATTGCCGTCTTTTTTGTTGGGGACCCCGAGACGGGCCACATCAATGGCTAGAGACATTATCAGACATGGCCCAGTCGCGCCCTCAATGGCGCTCATGCATCAAAGCTATTGCCTTCAATGCATAGCTCCTTTTCCACTCCCCTGCTTGACAACCCACTGACGGTGCTGGATTTATGCACCAATTTACCAGCTCGCGCGTGCAATGCGCAGCTACCTATCCCCCCCAATCATCGGTGAACGGAACTGTGGCAGCTACAACCAGTGTACGACGAGTACGCGGTTCTTACAGCTGACAATAATGATGGCGATGATGTACATCCCGATAGAAGATAAAAGTCCTTGTGGTGCAGTTTTTTACCATTTGATTTACTTCAAATACATCAGGCCATCTGCAGACTGCTCTTCTAAGGCAACAGCATTTGAACCGATAATGAATGCCTAAAATCCAGGCTATGACCAAGACAGACAAATATATATGAAGCCAATTGTAAAAGATACGTAGACCTAGAGAGGATTGTTTTCACTTGAATCCCTCATTAATGTTGTCCACTGTATATTGGTAGCTTGGGTGAGTTTATTCGTTGTTGATCAGGTGGCTGTTGATCTGTTCAGCAGCCACTAAGTACAAATATCCCGTTATTCCTCAAAACCAGACCCGATGTAGATTTTTTCTGAAACAACAATCATCAGTCCATATTTTTGTTTCAACGGCAGTGGTAGTTCCAAATACAGTAAATCATCTAATACTTTTTCACCACTAGCAACACTGTATCCGCATCTGCTCTAAATTTACTGGTGTTTGATGGGACATATTCACTTAGTTCTCAATCATGACTTCACAGTCATTGTCGGGCTTTGGAATAGTAGTGTTGGGTTTTGCTCCGATTCTCTCAGTGTCTACGTAAGCTCTTATGAGTGAAAATGCGTGATCGTCCGATGCACTCACATGGTATATGAGGCCTACAAGTTTCGTTTTGAACCAACTTTCTAATGAAGATTGCTTCGTTTGAGTGAAGAGGACCTGAAAAACTGAGAAGTACTGTCAATAAAGTTGCTGAACGCTATTTAATTAGTATCTATCCATCTTAGATGTTTATCCTAACTCTCTTCAATGCCCGAAGAGCCGAGTTGTATCACAAGCCTGAGGTTTCATCCCGGTAACCCTTTTTTCAAGCTTCATTCCGATGGTCACTTGTGTACAGTTTCATGGATATGGATATCAAAAGATGAAATGGCTGTCAAATATCGTAACAAAGACGAATTTACCTTGTATCTCGAGTATTCAGATCCCTCCGGTCGCATTGTGATTTCGACCAACTACTCTGCTAGTGGGAATACAGGTATACGGTCGAAGAGGTCATAGAAATTCCGGAAGATAAAGTCCCACTAATGTGACGAACTACTCGCTTCGTCGAACAGCATAATACACAGAACACGAAGATCGATCTGAACACTGCTGCGTCGACAATCATTTTTATCAAATCTATTTTAGGTACGACCATTGAATGAGACACTTGTTGAGGAGAAAACTAATGAAGCAGAATTGGCCCACAATCCAATCAAACATAAAGTTGGTGAAGAGTCAGTAGTAATTTTCAGTTCCTTAATCGCTGTAAATCCGTGTGAAGGCTTGTTTCGATGATTTCGGATCCGTTTATCCAATCACAAAGATGTTTTGTATCGACATTTGGAGAAATGGAACTTATCAGTTATATAGGCGGGCAAATATTAGAAAAGTATTTTGAGGCTTGGGGGTTTACATATGATAATCTAGTTGCCACCGCAGGTACCATCCGAGTAGCCCCACTCCGCTAGTTTCCCTTTCGAATTTTTGGCTATTGGTTAACCTTGAAATTTTCACTTTGATTTCCCCAGTTTTCAGTTCCCCCGTCCTGATGGTATACACTGTATTGTTTCTCAAACTGTGGTCGTATCTGGCTGTTAATCGATGGTGTCGCTTGTGGAGGAACCAAAGGATGGGGACTGCTCGAGCTCCGCTGCTGGCAGAACTGAAGAAGCGTCGCGAAGTGCTAGATTCCGAGAAACGGATGCGTCGCAGAAGTCAGGGTGATTCAGAGTGTCCTTCGCACGTTGATCTGGCATCAGGGCGGCGTGATTTGGAGATGGAGAATGCAGATGTCCTCACGACCCCGTTAACAACACAGAATTCAGATGGTTCTCAGTCAGTTACCGAAGTCCGGAATCGTCGTGTTGGGCAGATAGCACTCCCAGGAAAACTAAAGGAAATGGTTAGCTTAAAAGGTTCTCGATTTGGGCTTGAGGGGAGTAAATCCCCCAGTTGTCTGGGTAAGTTTTTCCCCCATCCGGAAACTTGTTTTGAACATTTTTTCTTATGGAAGTTATGACCTGAAACGATAGTTTCCGTGAATTAATCGCCCTATGCATATATGTGCTGCTGTCCCCGTTATCATTACTTCCTACTCGAATATCCAATTATGTTCATACCTCCGGCTGACGACATTCGAATTGCATCCTCTCTACTCTAAAGAACTGAAAACTGTTAATGATATCAAGGAAAAACAAAAAATACCCCTGAAAAAACCCGGATCACAGCTGCCAAGTTTCTAGTCCCCCAAGTTCACACTGTGTTTGCGGTTCCAACCGAAAATTCTAGTCAACCGCATTTTATTCAACTTGGATCCGGCAGAAAAAATTGTTTTTATCTGGTCAGAAACGACTTAACCAGCGTAGCTTATAAGTGTAATTATTGTTACAGTTCCGTTTCCTCATGTTGCGTGTGACACCATTGCCATATTGCTTCTGATTTACGACTGTCCGGTGCGAAATACGCTTTCTAGATAGCTGTCGCACACCAGGTAGGTTTTCATCAAAACTGTCTGAGGTATTCGTCGTTGCAACAAACCTCTTGTCACACTAGCAACAGGGGATCCGTGGACTGAGAACGCCACATTTGTTTGTGCTGTTTGCGCACTTTCGAAGTATGCACGGTAACTCATGGCTTCCAGCCTTCCTCTCACAAAGGCTCAGTAAATTTGGGGCAATAATTCAGTGTGAAAAGGTGCCATCCACTCTGCACCGATGTTTGTTCACAGTTTATTTTAATATGTTGTACTGCATCAGGGTTCTGCCTAGATCGCACTACATCATCTGTGTAGTCCGATTGTATAGATATGTTCGCATAGGTTAGGCGTCCTTCGGTAATAGTCAACACAGAGAGTTTCGAATAGAAGATCTGAAGACACTGAAAGCAAAGGCGAAATAATGGCGTGAAAAGCCATCAGTGACTCCAGCGGAGACAGAAGAGGATGCGGGGAGTTAGCATGAACTCTGACGTGGCGTTCTGTATTGTTACTAATGGATAAGTTTATCAAAGGGAATCCGATCTAACCTGTTGATATACGATATCGGAAGCAGCTTTGGCTCCCACAACATCTGTACACATCTTCGTTTGTGTATGTGACTTTTCAAAGCTACCTGGGTGCGACAGGACCACGATAACAGGTTTGTTCCTTGCAACTCGTGAGTGGTAGACACTTTCCGAAAGTTCATGCTTTTCAGGGCGTTGATTTGAGCGTCTGTAGTTTGAATAATCGTAGCCTGACTCTTGTGTGGCTGTAAGCAACATGAAAAACAGTCTTAGAAGCGCAAACGCTCGTATGCTGCTTGGTAAATTTGAACTAAACAAGTTTTTGAAGAATACGGGTTGAAGTGCACAACTTTGTTTCCTCCCCGTCTGTTCACGTTTATCGGGCTTGTCCTTCCACTATGTACTCGAAAAAAGCAAGTGCCACTACGAACCGAGGGACTTCCAGAACTTAACGGTTCTAAATTGCATCAGCTTCACTGTACACATTCTTGTGTACTAGTATCTTTATTCTAAAGAGTCGTATCATCATCAAACCAGCTGAAAAATGAACAGCAACAAGTTTTACTGAAAGTCGAAAAATCTACCTCACTCTGGCGAGTTAGGGTTTTCGGTGTGATTATGAAGAGGTTTATTAGGTGCACTTAATCGTGATTCTACGATTACGTGATAAAATGCAACTAGTGAAAAGCTGATAGATGTGATCAACGAGTACAACATTCTTTCTAGCTCACCATGCTGACCAACCTCTGATCGCATTAGCTCGGACTACGTTTGCGAATAAGCATGTGCTCAAGCTAAAATGGTAAATGCGCTCTTACATTGTTTGGCGTGTTAGACTTTTTGACAGTAGTATTCACAGATCCAGGATAGTGCCACTGTTATTCCTTCCAGTTAGAGTTTTTCCTCTCTAACCTATCGTTTTCGGCGGTAGATGAGATCTCACTTAAGCACAAACTTCAGTCCGCCTTGAGCCGCGCCATATTATATTATTATTAAATTAAATTATGTGGTATTATGCTATATTTTTGTATATGATATTCCTTCATTTTATGTTATATCTATGTAACATTGTATTGTGTGTACTCCACGTAGTATATATCATACATTATATCATACGGCACTTGAATTTCGTCTGTTTCAAAATAGATTCCAAATTTTGAGTGGTTATTGTAGCTCGCATATCAGTCGTCAGCTACAGTGGCATCTTTATCATCGTCAGGACTGATGAACGTCTCGAAGCGTACCCGAAATCACGGGCCGTGCAACACAACGCGTCAACATCATGTGCAACGAGACCGAAATGAGGGTCATCGATTGCAAAACGTACCTCTGAGACGAACACCTGAATGACTCTGTTTATGATTTTGCCGTATGCTACGCAATCGGAACTCCAAAGTACTAGCTTCTTGTGAAGCGATGTTGATAAAAGCACAGTTACTCAAACTGTGCACCGAAAACCTGTTGATTCAAGCCGCCTTGGAAATGAAACGAAACCACCCCTACCCTAGACGCATTTGGCTTATTTTTACCATAAATGTTGAGTGCTTTACGTCTGCGAGTGATGAAATTAATTTGAACCAATAACACCGCGCAAATTATGTCTTCTAACTGTTCCGATGAGGTCGATTCCTCAAACCTCGTCCCCTTCACATTTTATCGCCTTACTGTCTGCAGTTATCCGAAGCACTGTTGTTTATGCCCACTGTTTAGGCTGTTGGTGAGAATGACAGCTGGCTGGCTGGCTTGCTGGCCACATCTGCACCTCGTATCGTATCATTAATTTTGAGTGGTTATTGTAGCTCGCATATCAGTCGTCAGCTACAGTGGCATCTTTATCATCGTCAGGACTGATGAACGTCTCGAAGCGTACCCGAAATCACGGGCCGTGCAACACAACGCGTCAACATCATGTGCAACGAGACCGAAATGAGGGTCATCGATTGCAAAACGTACCTCTGAGACGAACACCTGAATGACTCTGTTTATGATTTTGCCGTATGCTACGCAATCGGAACTCCAAAGTACTAGCTTCTTGTGAAGCGATGTTGATAAAAGCACAGTTACTCAAACTGTGCACCGAAAACCTGTTGATTCAAGCCGCCTTGGAAATGAAACGAAACCACCCCTACCCTAGACGCATTTGGCTTATTTTTACCATAAATGTTGAGTGCTTTACGTCTGCGAGTGATGAAATTAATTTGAACCAATAACACCGCGCAACTTATGTCTTCTAACTGTTCCGATGAGGTCGATTCCTCAAACCTCGTCCCCTTCACATTTTATCGCCTTACTGTCTGCAGTTATCCGAAGCACTGTTGTTTATGCCCACTGTTTAGGCTGTTGGTGAGAATGACAGCTGGCTGGCTGGCTTGCTGGCCACATCTGCACCTCGTATGTATCGTATCATTTATGCTAGACGTCCCATGGTGGCTACCCACTACAGCGCGACAATTTGTTGACACAACTGCTTATCACATGGCCCAATGTTGAACAGTTTTATTCCGACTATTGCTAAGATACATCGAAACCCCAGCCTGTCCTGGCCATGTCTGCGCTGTTTAAATGAATTGTCTCCATTCAACATCCAGCGCAACTGTGCACCCAGACGTACCAGGTACAGCTGTTTGTCACTGGCAACACTCATTTCCTCTGTACCTGTGTTTGGAAGTTTCCGTGAATATGGTGAGAACTAGGCCCACCAAATCCGTCCTGGTCAAATATGATTATTTTGGTGTTGTTTGAAAGTGTAGTTACCTTGCTGCTAACCACTTCCCTCACGTCTTCTTATGATTTGCACTCTGCCTCTTGGTAATATTTCATTATCTTCTTCACGAGCACAAGTATCAACACCGTTCTCGTATGAATTGTTTATAGGCTGTTCAACAGTCGCATACTCATAACTGTGCACTATGCGTCCCCTGGTGGATATGAGCATATAACTGGTTGCCTACCTCAGTTTACCATTCCATTAAAGGCCTCCTTCGACCTTGTCGCGCGAGGAAAATTTACGAATGTAGTTTGAATGGTGTCTGACCGAGAATTTATACTGATTAATTCCAAAACAAGGTATTTTGGTAGAAAATGTAGGGTTCTAGGGTGTATCCTCAGTGCTCACAAAAATATTCTCATTTGAAAATGAATTACAAAATTGAAGCAAAGTTTCCATCCTGTTTCAAAAATGGCGGAATCTGGTAGAATATCGTAGAAAAAAGTAATGAGAATTGGCTTGGTTTTTTTTCGCTACTTCATCTTCTGGTACAAGATGCTTCTCTGCCCAACTTGGACCATATTTTCTAGTTCCAAAGTTTGGACTTACAGCGAATGCTCATAATGTGGACGGATGCGACTGGACCAAAGCAAACTTGCCGGTTTGACATGTCACACAGTCCTATTGGCGTTGTTCAAACTTGAGTTAGTCACTGCTATTATCCATTCACTTGGCAAATTGTGCTGTGCTAATGTATTGCAGTCTGTAGTAGCGCGTCAGAATCGGTACTAGCTGCCCCCCTTGGTAACAAGGTGTTCTCCCATCTATCGTTCGTCAATAACAACAAAATCCCACAGGTACTCTGCTTTTGACTACACTTATGATTTAAAAAGAGACGGACGATCCTAGTTTCATAGCTGTAAGCAGACTTCTGAGTTTCCCCCAGTCACCTGCCATCAGGAACCCTCCTTTCTGCTAAAACCATTTGGTGTGGTCTCCAAGATATACCACTTGAGATATCCATCGTTCATCAAAAGTTCTCCTAGCAGGCTCCAAGAAACAGAACCTAGCCTTTCGGTTTTTCGCTCAACTATGGGCCCGAACGACAGCCAAATTCTTTTTGAGCCTCAAACGTCATAATTTATGTAGCTGCTAATCGAGTTTGAAGTAGCGAACTTGATACCCGTGGTTCGAGCTCAACCTCTGCATCTCGACCGCTCCTGTCCAGGCTTGGGCAGCGGGGAAGTACCCCAGCCCCCGTGCTTCAGTCGGGCAGCGTGGCAACCAGCCACCGCAAGGTCATGTTCGGCCAACAGAATAATAACCATCACATCGGTCATAAGTCAACACATCTGAGCTACCAATGTAACAGTGATACTACTGGTGGGGAAGCACGCGAGTAGTATGTGTTGTTCGTAGAATTTCGCTTTGCGTCAATTGAAGAAGGGAGATCTGTTGCGGAATTCGTGGAGCCACTTTGTAACATTTGCTTGGATTTGACCGACGAATGAGTGGAGTCAGTGAATCTCCAGGAAAGTTCAAGAAGACTCGTTCGGGAGAAGATCGGTGTCCAGTTTTCGTAACTAAGATGCAGATTATAGTTTTGCTTCCCTGTTCAATGGTCTGTAACCGGTCATTTGGCATTTTCGAATAAATAACTCCGCAGCGGAGGCCTTCTTCCTTTCACCAATATTCCAACACACTGCCAACCCTGGATGCAATCGATGTGCATCTTGCCTGACCCGTGCTGAACAAGGTTTTCTATGCTGCGGTGAAGTTACTCAAAAGTCGAAACGTTAGGCCAAACGCTAATCGATTTCTTAGCCGCATATCCATTTATGTCGTTCGGTTTGGTTGGATCCGGATCCTCAGGGAAAAAGGAGATAGGTTTTCCATCTAAGACACCATAGTGTGTGAACAAAGCACATTTATGCGTGATATCATAAGTTAGATCATAGAAAGCCACACAAACGACAGAGTTGTAATAGCTTAACCGGAGCACATTAGAGATTGATAAAAATGTTGGAGTTTCGCAAAAAGTGTTTGATTTGAAAACCATACGAATTCGTAGAGGCGAGTAGGTTTCATGTGAGATCAGTTTGGTTTCGCCCTCACTTGATTTCCCTCTGGGTTGTAAGTAGTAGTTTACATGGTCTGTTTATTCATTATTTCTCCAACCAAAATATTTGTCTTCTAACTCTGGTTACTTACGCGTGGTTAATATGCTATATCAGATCGAACAACATGCGCAACGGGTTCTGTTTGGTCTGAGTAAGCAAGGAATGCCAATAAATCGATACCGGGTTCCGGAAACCGAGCCGCATACGAGATATGGGGTTCTCACCTTGAGACACGTGAGCAAGGCGGCCTGTATTTCCGATAGTATAGTCGAATGTATCTCGGTCAAACGACACGTAGCATCGACACCTTACATGCTTTTTAATCACCGAACATTGATCGTTTGCTAGGAAAACAACAGGAAAGAATCAGTTAAGTAGCTAATCTAGCAGACTTCTCTTCTATGCAACTGAAAAATTCTCCCACTTTCCGTACCTCAGCCTTCATTTCCGTTAATTTATTTCAGCCCCTTTCATCCGCAGGGGATTTCTATCGAGGGGGCGTATGGAAGCGTGCTTGCAGAAGAGATTCCATATGAGTGCGTCGCTCCTCTCACTTGAAAAAAAAATTAAAACTGATAAAATTATTGTCCAGTAGGGTCTTTTTCCGGTGATACACTTTTAATCTATTATCATTTATTTTTGAGGAGCATGATCACGAACATAAAAAGTGAATGCAAGCGATGAATGCGAAAGAGTAACAGGAGAATATGGGAGAAAAGAGAGAAACGTCTCGTTCGAAATCATGCCAAGAACAGTTCCAGTCTGATGAGATGATTTCCAGAGTATGTAAAAAAAATTTGATATAGAAAAACGCGTCTAAAGACCAACAACCGAAGGAAGGACAAACAATGTTGAATGCTCTCCAAGGCGCGGTAGGCACTAGCACAGTCAAGACTCGCGCATCAGGCATAAAGTGTCCGTCATACTGGGTCTGGTGTGAGATTAACTGGCAAAAATGTACGTTCAACGCCATGTGCCACGTATAAAAGTGTCATGAGTACGCAGAGAGCCCACAATGACAAGCAAACACAAGTCACTGACTGCGACCTTAGGAAGTCCCAGTCCAATAACAGCCTTAGCGGATTAAGCAAAGCAGATCCCCCGATAAGAGATGATCATCGGTTGGTGAACCAAAAAGTCGACATAAAAACCGATGGCATGTAGGGCTTAGATTATGGCGAGGGAACATTCATCAGCACCATTCTGCAACATTCTACTTCTCATTCCACACAGTCACTCCGCGCCCATCTGAGACTATGCTGACGTCTATTACAGTTGCACGGCGATCTTGAACAGCGATTAGGTCGGGTTTGATGAAGGACGTCGAAGTAGGTGCTCTCAACTCCTCGAAGACGGTGTATCCCAGTCGACGGAGACGTTTCGCGAGTTCCCTTGCAACCCGATTATGAAGAGCACATCTGGCATCATGCGTGATCCAGCACCAAACTCTCCGGCTGGCCACAGTTTCCACGACATAAGATCGTCTGGCCACCATGACCATGCCGAGCGCTTCTAACTCTCATCCTGAGCAGGTTGTATCGGAGCTGGATACCGCGGATAAAGATCCGAGGAAACACTCGTTCTGGAAATACGAGCCATCGATTCGAGAGAGGCGAAGTGACCAACTCTCGTAAACCGCGACCGTCAACGCTGTTGTGCAGACTATCACCCCAAGCAGCCACCAGCTCTTCCTTGGTGTTTACGCATGCACCATGGACTCGGATCGGAAGGCTGAGATTTCGAGCAATTTTGCCAAATGCGGAATCGTTGACCACGTTGAGTAATACTCGGCACTGAGTAGAAAGGAGCTTTTCCATACGTGTTCTCCACTGCATTGGGATTGTTGCACTCAGAATTGGGATAACAAGTCCCCCATGTGGTTTACCGGCGTGGATGTAGCTGATAGGGGCTTCCTTCGGTAGACGTAGCCAGCCACGAATATATTGCCTGATGTAGTTGTCCAATCTTTCGAGCGTGCTCCGGTGTACTTGACCGAGCACGAGCGAATATGTCAACCTTGGTATCAGGTAATTCCTCGTGATATCCATTCTTCGATGCGGCTTCAACGGGGCACGCGTCACTTCTTCGAGCAGTTTGAGCAGATGCTGTCGGTGGTTGAAGACCCCTAACCCCTTGGAGGTAAAGGGAATGCCCAAATATTTTGCAGTGTCTGTCGGACCCAGAGGAGTGATTAGGTCCTTGGCAATGCGAAACAGTTCTACTAAGACTGCTGTTGCCCGAAGTTCCCTGTCCCCAAAAATAACAATCAATATAGTCTTTCGGGCGTTTATTTTCATGCCAGCTCTTCCCAACTCGACCGAGGCAGCTTCAAGCTTCTCTTTAAGGCGTGCCTGACTTTCTGCACACACGACCCAGTCGTCAGCGGAAGCAAAACCATCTACTAAGGTGTCATGGAACTGGTATCCCTGTTGGGGCATCGACAATCGAAGAACCTCATCCATTGCCATAATGGATAATAATGGAGAGATTGGGTCTACTTGCCTCCATCCTCTGTGGCAGTGAACCTCGGAACTGGGGAAAACTGTCACAACAAATTCAAAGGACTATGCGATATATCGAACAAGAGGTGACAGAGCTCCAAAGGCCTCGGCAGATCTGACGATTGTGTCATGCGAAACCGAATCGAACACTTTCGATTTATCGACAAACGCCAAGCTGAGGTTAGAAGCAGTCGCCGATGAGTGACGAAGCAGGGCATGTAACAGCGATGTGGCTTCCAAACAACCGTCTCGATGCATAAATGCAAACTGAAGTGAGAACAGTTGCAATCTTCGACTCGAGCGATCAGCAAGCACCTTATGGAAGCAACGGACAAGAATGGACGACACGGAGATCGGTCTCAGTTGATCTGGTGATGTTAGATGTGGGACTTTCGGAAATGGAGTAACACGGGCCCGAAAAAGATGTGGAAGACAACCTCCAGATAACAAGAAAAACTTAAATATCCAGCGAGCACATTAGCATTGAACCGGCGGAGCGTCCCGGGTGTGAGCTGTTCCAGGCCTAGGGACGTATTCCCCATGAAACGGATCATACGACGAACTTCCTCTACCGTAATTCAACCGTAATAGACGTTAGCATAGTCTCGGATGGGCGTGGAGAGATAGTGTGGAATGAGAAGAAGCAGAAGTATGGTGCTGATGAACATTTCTTGGCCACAATCTCAGCCCTACATGCCATCGGTTGTGATATCGACGTTTTGGTTCACCAACCGATGTTCATCTCTTATCGAGGATCTGCTTTGGCTTAATCCGCTAAGGCTGTTATTGGACTGGGACTTCCTAAGGTCGCAGTCAGTGACTTGTGTTTGCTTGTCATTGTGGGCTCTCTGCGTACTCATGACACTTTTATACGTGGCACATGGCGTTGAACGTACATTTTTGCCAGTTAATCTCACACCAGACCCAGTATGACGGACACTTTATGCCTGATGCGCGAGTCTTGACTGTGCTAGTGCCTACCGCGCCTTGGAGAGCATTCAACATTGTTTGTCCTTCCTTCGGTTGTTGGTCTTTAGACGCGTTTTTCTACATTTTTTTATTTTACATACTCTGGAAATCATCTCATCAGACTGGAACTGTTCTTGGCATGATTTCGAACGAGACGTTTCTCTCTTTTCTATTCTCCTGTCCTGTTACTCTTTCGCATTCATCGCTTGCATTCACTTTTTATGTTCGTGATCATGCTCCTCAAAAATAAGTGATAGTGCGGCATTTCTCTGAATCTCAGATGAGTTTTTTTCGTTGCTACACTTTTATTACTGTTGCGTATACCTCGGTTGAACGCAATACCAAGTATGCCACGATAGCATGATTTGAATGTGGCTTATTTTTGACATATCAATCATTTATTAGAGTAGCAATTACTAAATATAAGTAGCATGAGCAATGTGCCAAGCTTGAATTCGGACCACTGACCTGGAACCTAATGCACGCGTGCTATTTGAACTCAGCTGCAGGGAAACTGGCTGTTCATCACAGCTCTGCTTAATGGATTAGCGATTTATATTTGTCAGTATCACTGATGATTCTCTCACGTAACTTCCATAACGAGCCAGGTATTGATGTCTTTGTAGTGTACTATTCATAAGGTTGCTGAAAATCCGTCGACAGCCCACGACCGGTTTCGCCCTTCTTGGGGCTCATGAGCAACCTTATGAGTAGTACATTATAAAGATATACATGTATTGCGATATTTCAAATATCGTAGCGGCTGAAACATGAGGCGGCCTGGTGCAGCACATTCAGTTGCCTGAGAACATCATAAACGAGAGATTCAGCTGGGTTCCAGGTGAGTCTCTCGAAAGAACCAAATTGGTTTGCAATTGAGGTATTGATGTCGTTCAGACATGGAAATGGTTTTCATGTATCCCGTTGGAAAGTAGGCCGGGGGTTGTTGGAACTGGAATGAACAAATCCCAGTGAGTGTTGCTCGTGTTCTGAAGGAGATCCACAGAGGACAACCTTCCCACCGAACGACTGTATTCGGACTTTATGAACTCACCCACATCCGTGGCTCCCAGGTCACGTACTCTAATTCAGTCAAAATAAACTAGCTGAACTGGGAGCCAACCGTTTTGAAATAGTTTCATACTGCTTCTTCAGTGTCGTGAGCACGTGACTTGCTAACTGCGGTTAATTTGAGCTTGCCAAGAAAAAAGAAACGAAATTATGGTGTCATAGCATGCCGCTGATCGCTACAAAGAAAACAAATTCGGTAGGTTAGGAGAAATCTCATTGCTCAAGTAAAAGTAACCAACGGTAGAGGATGGACTAGCAAGGTTTCGCTGTCATCCTTGTTGGTAGTTTCCACCGATTCCTAGAGTGATTCGAACCGCGACTCTCCGGTGTTTCCACCGATTCCTAGAGTGATTCGAACAGCGACTCTGCCATTCGGTGACGCGTGACTGTTCAGCACTCGCGCTAATGCTGGACATGGTGCCATCCTTCTTCAGTCACACAGCGGTATTCGAACGAGAATTAGTCTGCTGAGCAATGAAAGATCCCACGTCATAGCCCTTTCGTCTGAGAAGTCCCCATTCAGGGAGCCGGATCACCGGACACAAGACATGATTTGTTCTTCGCCCAGTCCTCTCTACCCGTGAACTACTGAAATTTCTGGTTTGCCGCTTCTGCCCAAAGGCATAACGCTCAGCTACTAAATGAAAAGGATCCACAGCTGGACCGCACTTTTTGTCTTTTCAGCAGGATAAAATATCGATTGAATCCACAGGAATTTCTCACCGCCCTAAGAACCTGTAGCCTTCAATCAGCGGAAGTTGTGCGTGGACGTGTGATTTGGGCCTGAGGGCGTTACGCTGGTAGGCTACTATCCTATTACTGTAGCCTTGCTCAATTCACATAGCATCTTCGACGCATTCGAGTTTAATGTGAATAGCTGAAACTCCGGCACAGCGGCACTTTACATATCGTCCTAAGTGGTCTCGACTCGCTGTATTTTGTTTTCTGTCAGGTTATGAACTGGACTTGCTGAGTAGCTCTGTAATTTGCAGGGTTACATCTGTAGCCAAAGGAGAAACTCAGATCGCACGGTAACGACACTGAAGAAAACCCGTAGAGTTACATGGTCAGGTCGAAGTAGGGTCTGCACCTTTCGAACAAAAGTGCACATGGACCAGCCAACACTTCTCGCGAATGTGGTTTAGTGTCTCGCATTCACTATGACTTGGAAGTGCATAGCCTAGTCGGGACAGAATTAGGGCTGCTCAAACTAGAGTTACATGGATAAAGATTCGATAAATTCCACAACCACCCACAACAATAATTCTGCTCACTGAAACACTTCACAGGAAGGTTACTGCGGTTCTGTCAGGCTTCATTCGCTGTGCCCAAAAGTGTTTCCTTAACGTACTTGAATTTTGTATCCGAACCCGAGGTTACCGTGGTCTTCCTGGCCGCCCCGTCTAGCTTTTAACATTTTACCAGCCCTTAAACAAAATTAGCTGTGCAGTGCGATTTAGTGCATAGATCGAACGTAAAAATGGCACGTTGCTCTGTCACACCAAACCTTGATAGAGGACTTCATACTGTCTGGTGGTCAGTGTACACGACCTTGTGTGGCAGTCAGATCTAATGCAGCGAATGAGTCACTGATGCGACATTAGTGTTGAGCGCGTTTTTCATGGTGCCGACGCTTTGAGCCCTCATTCATTAGCAGATGCGCATAGTACAGGTTTTAACTTGATCCGACAGCAACCTTGTGATTATGAAAAAATATACATAAATGTGAAAATATACTGCAATTTCTGGAATATCATACTAACTGAAACATGAGGCGGCCTTTGTACAACCTATTCACTTGGAGAATATCATAAAAGGGAGTCTCCGTTGAAAGCCAAAGTGATACCTAAATGTGTATTTGTCGGTTTTCACTTAGATTACAACTACCGCTTCGTCCTAAGGACCACTAGATCAAGTGGACTAGAAGTGACACGAGTGACGGGGACAGGGCGTTTCGGCTTTTCAGTTAGTATATGTCAACCTTCGGTCGGTGCTTGCCTGTGTACGATCCCAAACAATTTTCATCTTGTGATTATCTTTGAAAGGCAGTTGCGGACCACCAGAGTTCCCGCACCACCAGGGTAGGATATGCTTTACTGTATATCCGTATTAATGTTTGCATGTGTTTGTTTAGTATGCTTTAACATTAGAACAACGGTAAAATCCGTCACCTGAATACAACTTACTGCAGTCCGTCCTGCCGCAGCATACTACAGCAATAAACTGACAGCATAAGGTAAAAAATTTCAAGGTTTTTTCACTGTTCGTCACAATAAGTCTATTTACTGGTCTCCATTGTGAATAGGCTATACCCGAAATTTACTTCTAAGAGTTTACTAGTTATGTTATGCTTTCACGTAAACGCCATAGAAGCGTTGGAAGTACACAAGCTTAATATGGAAAAGGATTTATTCATTAGATCAGATTAGAATTAACACTGAAGTTGCTACCATGTTTTCGCATTTGACCGGTTTTGAGGTCTCAATAGCACCACCAGGCTCTAAGTGTAAAGTGGCCTGTGACCTTGCCTGTGAAATCGATGCACATGCATGATCTAGACCGTGTTTATGTGACTATCTGTCACGTCCATGTTGATCTTAGTGGATTCCGTGCATCGTTTGTCAGAACCTACTGAAGTCGGTTACGTGTGAATGTGCAGTACCACACCTGTGTATATTGGAGACCGACTACGAAAAAGTGGAAGCTATAAAGGAACCTAAAGCATATTTCTAGTCATTTATGCACAGCGTTATAGTTGCGCTTACGATGTTACTCTCCAAATGTTGTTAACGCTAAAGCGAACTTATGATACAAATTTCTTAAAACAGTTACCATAAAACCATATATATATATACATATATATATATATATATATATATAAACCATAAAACANCAAAAGTTCCGTGGGCTCGCTGAACGCAATTCAGAGTGAAAAATCATGGAGTACTTTTGGTTTCACTTGTATGGATTGATTAATACTATTAGTGATGTATAGATCGCTATCAAAAATGGCCTTACAGTCGTTCCAATGTTGAGAACCGCTCATCTCTAACTAGCCAGCCTTTAATAAGGCTACATCTGCAGAGCAAACGCGCAAATGCAGAAATTGTACTGTTTTTAGCAATTACCGTGCCTTTTTGTTTTTGTTTACGCTGGTAGATGTTTAGATGCTCCCTAATTCCTTTTAGTCAGTAGAAACAATGATCGCGATGTTAGATGTTCCTTACTTTTTCTACGGTCATTGCTTAACATGTCTTTCCAAGGCTATTTTTCTAAGCACGCACCGTATTTTCATGTCCCGTGCAATATTCTTTTATCATATTCGTCTGTCTACTATTTTGTGAGTCTGATGCACCGGTTATACGTACCGTTCACTGTGTTCCTCCGAGGATCCCACACTGCTGGAAAAGTGACGGTGTTGAATACACTCTATCCCAATGGTTATTTAGGGCCTTTTCAAAGGTCATCGATGCACACAGCCAGGTTGAAAACGTAACGGAGTAAAACACAATTGAATAACGGCTTCGCTCACCCCGTATGATTTTGAATGATGCTGGTGCCGCTATGCGGAAATATATGGCGGTATTTCCCACCGTACAATATGTTAATTTGCATATCCCCACCATCTTTTGAAGAAACCTTGTTAAAATCCACAAGTCAACTGAATATAGAGTCTTGTGGACAGTTTTTGGACATTTTAGGTGCCTCTTAGTGTTTCGTACTGCATTCTACGACAATAAGAGTTTAAAAAGTGTCTTTAGTTTATCGTAGAAATCCGTATCGTCCTATTTTGTGTGCTTATTGTTTCGAGGTAATGATGCCTGTCTTCACTGTTGTACGGAACCTTATCTGCTGATTTAAACCTTGTGGTATTTTTCATGTTTCCTTTTTGAAAAACTTCTGATTAAGCATGTGATCCGTTTTGATTCCAATGGCCGTAGGAGTACTGACATTCTACAGCCCTCCTTGACATACAACATTCCGGTAATGGCCAACGAACCGTACGTGCGATTTTAGCGAACAGTGTAAGCACACGGTAATCAGGATTGAAAAGATCGGGCCTTCCTCAATGTGTCCTTAAGATTGTAGGTTAACAGATACTGTGACCGGTATTAAAGTGTCAGAGTAGGCCTCCAGCGAAGATACTACCATAAATTGTTCTGGATCCGACCACATGCGTAAAACTTAATATTCAAGTAGGAAATAAGCCAGGTAGTAACTCCGGGAATTCGCATTCGTGATAAATCCCAAGGAGGGCTTAATCGGTGATGGGTTATCAAAATTTTTAGCAAACTTATAGGTTGTGTTTTTAATCCCATTTGAGTGTGTAGCGCACGTTTATGTGCTAACCATTGGGTGGACGGCTTGTGTGCATATTTTTGTTGGTTATCTTACCAGTCTGTTTGTTTAGTCCATTTTATTCCCATCTTATTAGGGTGTGCAGGTATACGGTGATTCCGGTTCCTTCTGGTTATGATCAAGGACACAAACTCCTATCGGAATTTGGATTTCCCAGGGAGACTTGTGAAATGTGCACTACCAATGCTGCTTAGCGAAGATGAAATGTTTTGAACAGATGTTGACTTAAGTTGTTTGATGCAACTCGTCATCACAAATGGAGAATAGTCGCAAGTGATAAGTCGCGAGTGATAAGTTACAGCTACATTAATATTGGGAGCTCAGATTGTCATAATTATTATCTCCACATTGCTTTAGTTTATCCATGTCATCGTGCGCTAACAATTAATGTCCACCAGTCGGTCATGAGCTGCAGTGAAACCTACCCTTGTGTAAGTTGGCTTAGCCACAGGGCACTTGAAGTTAATCTTATGACTCGTCTTCTTCATGAGCAAACCTACTGAGACAAAATCCCGGAAATTTCAAACCTGACATAAGATCAACTTTGTTTGGTGCTTACGGTATGTGGTTTGTTAATACTTATGAGACCATTCTTGCCAGCCGCATTACGACTGTAGGATTTCAGTGTGATGTCTCAGTCAGCTGACTTTACCTCCTTATAACCAAACATATATGTCCTAATTCACACCAGTTTCCTTCCTTTGATATTTAAGGTTCCGTTGGTTCACTCTCGTATACTGCACTCAGAATGTTAGTACATTCATTTGCTCATTTTATTTAACCCTTTTTCTAGGTTCTGGTAATCGTCTGCCTGTAAACAGAGCAAGCATGAGTGTGACTGATGAGTACCGTACACTGCTGGACATGCTGGAGCTGGAACGCCACTCATTGGCACCGTTCTCCGAGTGTATTGAAGTGACCTTCAGCGGCTATATCACATACCCAAACAACGTAACGTTGAGCAATTTGTACTATTTTATTTTCGCGCCCACTCTCTGCTACGAACTGAACTTTCCGCGTACCCTTACGATACGGAAGGCTTTTCTGTTCAAACGCCTGTTTGAACTGGTAAGTTTTGCACTAAAACTGAGTTTTTTTTTCAAGAATTCGTCATATGAAAGGAATTAATAAGGAGCAAAGAAGTATTATGATACTTGAGGTGGATGAGAGACCATCACTACAATTATTTTCACTGTTACTGGACACGGGGATGTAACTTGTTTTAGTTCCCTACTGCAGACACATGGAAAACCACTTTATCTTGGTACAGCTGCATTATCATCAACTGTTCTGCCATAAGTGCTGAAAATGTTTTTTCTTCTGTTCACGCACGCCTACCTTCAAACGTTTCACGAAGTCTTTGGAAGCTTTAGAAACAAGTGACTTCGTCCTTTGCGCCTAATAGCACCCAAATGAATTGTTCAAAATTTGCCTGCTACCGCAGATCCTATTCACTGCCTTCTTGTGGCGATAAGTGTGGTTGAACGTCCATTTGTTGTCTATTTGGGGGAATGGCCAAACCGTTCTTGCAAAGCAACAATGGCGAGACTGCACATGAGTCCTACTGAATTGTTTGGATGGCGCCTTGCTTTGCGACCTAACAGTCTTAAAGGCGGTGCAGTTTAGTTGTTTCCGGCCTCTTATTACCTTCCAGGTTGGACTTGGCTTTGTATAGGTTAGAAGCGTACCCTCGCTCAAAAGCTGGGTGGTACTTGGTTGGCGACCGATAACATGCCCCCATGAAAGTCACATGATGACGCCTCCTACATAAAGTTCCGTCCATGCCACAGCACCCCTGAAAAATGTTGCACTCTGTCGATCTGTTGGTTAAGATGACCAGGACAAAAGTTGATATCCCCAGTAAAAGAAATTCTTCATCAGTTTGTGGAGTGCTCGCACTCCTCTTAGCGCTACTAGCCAAATTATCAGCGTATCCAGGCTCAATTGAATCAGCAAACAGCTTTCAGTAACTCGATTGGCGTTCTCCGGAAAATAATGAGTCTAGGTTCTTGGTGGGGACATTTCTTACGGATTCTGTCAGGGACTACTCAAGCATGTACTGCTGCTGTCTCCTCAAAGAGTACTGCTTAACGACGTATGTGTTGCCTGGAATACAATGTCTCACGGTGGCTCGTCTTAGGAGTACCCCTTGTGGACTGTGGCAATTTTGCCCCCTAGTCCTCATCAGTCCTTTCCATAAAGGGTGAGATCTATGAACAATATCAACACTTAACCAGGAAGACGAGTTGAGAAGTTTTTAAGGGCGCATGAATTTAACGGCCAGTTTGACAGACAAGATATAAACGCCGGTTTATTTCATACCAGTCTTGTGTATATGGTGACAGCTCATCAGATTCACCACGCCTAATCTGTTTGTTGTCGGCATTACACTTTTCCAGCATCCCAGAAAACACTTGATGTTGTAGTAGCCGAATGAAGTCCACACCCTAAATAGATTACATCATGGTGTTTTCATGACGGGCCCCATCGATTGAAGCCTAGTCCTTAATTATGGAACTGTGTAATCTGGAAACGTATTAGGTACGATCACACAATTGTGCGCACCAGGCTCAAATTCCACCATAGCGCGAGACGATTTCTGTCTTCCGAAGCGCATCGTCGGTCGCCTGAAAAGCCAACAGATACTGTCACACACGATAATCGCCAGGTCAAACGCCAAAACTTCTTATCAACCAACCAGATACGTAAAACGACGGCGAATAACTTTGGACACCTATGTAACAAGTCACCGTTTGGCAAAGTCACATGGACTTCTAAAGGAACAGTTTCTTTCTTCGAAAAAAGTTTAGTGACAATCGGTAGATTTATTGCTGGGCAACATTTCGCTTTTGACACAAAAGCTTCGTCAGGCCAATTGACTAGGTTCCTAGGTTGGTCGAGATTTACCCAAAAGGTCAACAGAAGCCCATCTCACTGAAGTGGCTAACTTTCGCACTTCCCAGTCAGGAGACATTGCATTACACAGTATCCGGACAACACATTAGGCTTAAAATCCTATCCAAACCTCGTTGATTGCACTGCTCCATTGCTACGATACTTCAACGTACAACTTTTCAACGAAAAGGGTAAACACGAAACCGAATGAGTTGAGTTTTTACCCTAGAAGAGCCTTATGAACGCAATACTCCGTGACAAACATCGCACACATACTGATGATGTGTTTTATCCACTTCCTAATTTTGTTTAGTTGGTCGTCAGTGATTGTGAACAATCCTGTTAGCTGACGGTGTCTCCGGGCGGCTTATTGAGGTCCGCTGCTCATCAGTAAAGATCTGAATCAAGTTGTTTGGCGAAGAAACTACTGTTCTGGATATCGTTTTCGAGATTATCTTCTGCCATCATTCGTGCCCTTCAAATTTGTTGAGTGCTCGGTTGAATGGGCATTAATTGGATACTCTAGTTGGGTCCTCTAACCCGGTTAACTAACTCCGGAAAAGCTAATGACACCATTGTAATAGGAGAGAATCCGGAAGAACTCGAACGTGTGTTGAGCAGTTTAGCTCATGGGATAGGATTAAGAACTGAGAAAGCTAAGATTTTCAATACAAATGAGGTGATCGAACAAGCCAACTGCCTGGTTTTTGTCCTATTATGTGAGCGAGGGGAGTGGAAGAAGAAATTCAACGTCAAATCGTCTGTACATGGCCTGTCTTCTGACAGTTGAAGATCCTTCCATGAAGAAATGAGTTTGTTTTCGCACAAAGTTGGTAGCTTCGATGCAACCGAAATTCGTACCTGCGAAATGTGTCCATGCCGAGCAGAGGATATACAAAAGCTAGAGGCGTTCATTCACCATTCCCTCCGACCAGCAGTTGGAGGAAGTCCAACGGTGACATCCGGAAACGTTATCAATAGCTACTGGATCCCTCCCAGATCCTTCAATGAAGATAAGTATAATAGTTGAATCTGTTGCTTAGACCGATGCCTGAAAGAAAACCAAAGGCACAGTTCGGTCAAAATTGGCGAAACAAACTGATGCATTAATGGAGCCAACACTACATTTTTGCACAGCCGGTGGTTGATCTGGGCAGCGCCTATCTCGGACATTTCTGAAGCAGAATAGCCGTCTGAGAAGCTAGTCACCTTAGAGCAAAGCAGGCTCGGTCCTGAGACGAGCTGTTACGGGATTTTTGTTACCCCCTTGATGACCCTCGTTACACAGTCGAATGGGTGTATCTTCGTTGTGCTTGCCATGCTCTGAACCATGCTGAACTATTTCGTGCTGCACGGTAGCGGTTACGGTAGCTTATTCGGGCAGGAGGTTGTAGGGAATGTACATGGACATAATAACGTTTTGAACGAATTCCGAAAATTTGTTCCCCGTCTGCTTGAATGTGTCCTACCTAAATCTGATCGTCTGTGAGCGTCTTTTTTTTCTGGCCGTCACAACATTATGGTTCGAAAACGGGTTAGCTGGATTCCTGTATGCGATTCATTCCCATCAGTCTGCCACAACTAGACAGGGCCCAGTCAAAATCTGTGTATCTTGGCGTCATATCATGTGCAGTCAAAAGTTAACGGCTCATCAGAATCTAGTTTATACACCATTCCAACAGTTTCTGACAAAAGTCAGATCTGAAAAAGCAAGATTATTATTCACCAAGTTAAGGCATCCATACTGTTCTTCTCTATGTTTCATACTAACTCAACTCAGAATTACACACCAGGCTCCGTTCATAAGCTTTCCCTAAAACTGCTTCGAAGAAGCAAGC